GTGCGTGCGTGCGTGCGTGCATGAATGGAATCAAGCAAAGTAAGAAATAAGGAATGCATAATCAGTCATGCATGCATGGATACACGACTGCGTGAAGAAATGAAGAAATCATGAATGAGTGAATGTCTGAATGAATGCTAAGCGAATATACACAGTAGTGTTAGTGTTACTGTTGTTGTCAGTGTTTCTCTTTGTGTTAGTGCCAGTGTTAGTGTTAGGGTTAGCATCAGCGTCAGCGTCAGCGTTGGGTTGTGGTTGTGGTTGTTGTTGTTGGTCGTGGTGGTGGTGCTGGTGCTGGTGGTGCTGATGGTGCTGGTGGTGCTGGTGGTGCTGCTGCTGCTGCTGCTGCTGGTGGTGGTGGTGGTGGTGTGATCGCTCTCTACTGTGACTGGACAAGTTTGTCCTGATCTGGTCGAGTCTTCGTTCATCTGATCTCACCTCATCTTGATCTTCATCTGTACCGCAATCGTTTTTATATAGCTTCTTCTTTGTCTTTATCATTGTCTTTGCCTTTGACCTTATCTTCATCGGTATACTTCTGTTCTCTTGTCTTGTCGTCTGGTCGCATCTGGCCTTGTATATTTTATCGGGTCTTATCTGACATTATTTGACCTTCGTCTTAAAATATTCTTATATGATCTCACCTGATCTTGTGTTAGGAAGTCTTTCCACGGCGTCTCTTCTGCTACCTTTTCTACTCAGCTGTGCTTAACCGCATCCTGCTATTACATCGGCTGGCTCGTATGCCATATGGATCCCCAGCCCGAAGCACCAAGCCTCAGTAGGGTTTAGGGTTTAGGGTTTGGGGTTTAGGGTTCAGGGTAGGCGCTGGCCCCTAAACTCAGGGCTTAGGGTGCGGCAACATCTCTCGCGATCAACAGCAGGGGGAGGCCGCCGAATTCTGCACCGGACATCCAGAAAATTCTAGGTCCCGAAAGACCTAGACACTAAACGCTAAGTCCTAAGTCGGGTTCAAAGACGACAACAGCTCCAACGTACTCGACGCCGTAGGAATATACCCAGGTAGCACGATGCACCGAAATCCCGTTTTTGGTGCTTCCCTAAACCCTCAATGCCCCTTAATCCCGTAAACCCTAAACCCGGTGGCATCTAAGGGGTTTTAGAAGTTTTTTCGATTACCCTAGACCCTAAACCCCAAAACCAAAATTCGCAGCGCCTTTCCTAGGTTTGGACTTGAACAGAAGCAAACCATCTTGATCGCGAGACCCAAGTCTCCAAGAAACCAGCTCAAGCCACACCGGAAGAACGATTCAACCTAAAACCCTAAACCCCTAAACCCCTAAACCCCTAAACCCTGAACCCTAAACCCTAAACCCTAAACCCCTAAACCCTGAACCCTAAACCCTAAACCCCTAAACACACTCCTAAACACGAAAAAACCCCAAGCCTCACACCCTAATTAAGACACGAAAGTCACCAAAGAAGCCCGTTCAGAAGCCTTTCTCGTACTTCGAAGATCCTACAAAACCCTGTAACGCCCCAAAACAACCCTCCAAAACCCTATGAAGACCCACAGGCTTTCAACATCCCACAGGACAACCCGACGCCGCCGAGTCTTTGAGCTCTGACTCCCTGGGAAGTGCCGAGCTGCCACCAGGACTGCCGAGGCCAAGAGGATCGGATTCCTTGGGGCTCTCAGCATACCTAATGTAGGTACTGTAGGGGCCTTAATAGGGTTTGGGGGTTCCTTTTAAGGGTTCCTTTAAGGGGTATTATAAGGGCCTACTATAAGGGTTTAGGGTATAGGGGCCTTAATAAGTAGAATCGGGTTTTGGGGGCCCATTATCCTAAAATTATCCTAAGGAACCCCCAAAATAGTATAGGTAGTTATTTCGGCCCCTATATCCAACCCTAAACCGTTTCGTTGAAGCTTTTTTGGGGGGGCTTCAGGGGTTTCGGTGGGCTTAGGGTTTGGGACGTCCCCTTTGGTCTGTTGGGGTCCGGGAACTTGCGAGTTGACCCAGGGCTTAGAGTTGAGAGTTTAGGAAGCAGGCGCTCATGCAGGGCTTTGGGTTTTAGGGTTTAGGGGTTTAGGGGTTTAGGGTTTAGGGTTTCGGGTTTAGGAGGGTTTTGGGCACTGAGGATGAGATCTTCTTGGGACTTTGAGTTGCAGGCTTGGGAGCGAGATGAAGTAAAATGTTTTGGGGCGATTCAAGAGGCCGCCAAAGAAGAACCATGACGGGAAAGGAGCTCTAAACTCTAAACCTTTAATATAGGGGCCTAAATAACTACCCAGACTATTTTGGGGGGTTCCTTATGATAAGTATAGTATATTGGGCCCCAAAACCCTATTCTAATTTTTAAGGCCCCTTTACATTACCCCAAACCCTTGAAAGCCAAACCTGGTTCTCTGTTGGGGCTATATCAAAAATCATCATGTCTAGTCCTTCTTGGGTTTATTATAACCACATTGTAGAAAAAGAAGGCCCCCCCCCCAAACCCTAAACCCTCGAAACCCAATTTCGAATATGGTTGTGCATATATCCACACTCAACTCTGGCAGATCCAGTCAAGAACCTCCAGCTTCCGAACTTGTACAGCTACTACCCGCCCCCCTCCCTCGGTAGGTTCGTCAGGACAATAGCATCGACGGTTTAGGGTTCAGGGTTTAGGGTTTCGGCGGAATTGACGGTTTAGGATTTAGGGTTTAATTCAGTCCTCAGCCCAAACCCCTCAGCTTCAAACCGTCGTTAAATCGAGTTCTCAGTTTTCCTGAAGTGCCCTCGGGGTACCAAGGGTAACCAAGAAGGGTTGATTGTTGCCCACAGGCCGTCGGAGCAGTCCAGCATCTCAGCTCAATGGTGACGCAACTAATGTAGGGCGTCGGAATAATCAGTACCCATAGGCCCTAAAGTAGTTCCTTTTGGGGGTTCGTATATAGAATCCTATAAGGTAACCCCAAACTGGAACTACCACGGGGCCTATGGGTAATGGTATCCTTGCATAAGGATACTATGACATACCCTATTAAGGCCCCTACATCAGCGCTTCGGGCCTCAACGATGTGAGATTTTCAGGGGACGCCTCGAGAGCATTCTGGGCCCCCCCTTGTACGGTCTTGACGACCCTAAACCCGAGGTAGGCGGGAACTTTTTAATGTGTCCACCCTAAACCCTAGACCCTAAACCCTAAACCCTAAACCCTAAACCCAAGACCAATACGAAAGACCAATACGAGTCTCTGGGCATCGCGTACGTGTCCCTCTCGTGCCATCATGTGGAGCGGCTCCAGAAGCCGAGCAGTGCCACTATCACCACCAGCAGCAGCGACAAAGAAGAATACTAGGGATGTCGGGAGGGAGTTTAGGGTTTAGGGTTTAGGGTTTATGGTTTAGGGTTTAGGGAATATCATCAACATCAACATGACTCTGACACAGGAACATTACCCTGCTTGCTCCTTGTCACTGAGGTGCCGAAAGGGCTTTGGAGGCAGGGCATTGGGTCAAAGAGGGACCGAAACCTTCAAGACCCTAACTAAGTCCCAAATCGGCCCAAACCCTCAACCCCTAAACCCTAAACCCTATAAACGCTCTACCCTAAACCCTAAACCCCTCAAAACCACTAAACGCCCAGGCCACAGACCTAGAACCCCCAACGCCTCCCTCCCCCCCGCCAGGATCTTTTCATCCCCAAGCCCTGCACCCTTAAGGGTTCCCTTAAGGGTTCCCTTGAGGGTTCCTTTGAGGGTTCCTTTGGGTTTAGGCTTAGGGTTTAGGGTTTAGGGTTTAGGGTTTAGGGTTTAGGGTTTAGGGTTTAGGGTTTAGGGTTTAGGGTTTAGGGTTCCTGCACCAGAAAAATAAGCCACCGAGGTGCCGAACCGAAACATCTCGGCACACAGGCGCATGAAAAGGGACCCCCCAAGCCCCGGGTTGAGGGTTTAGGGTTTAGGGTTTAGTTTCTAGGGTTTACGGTTTAGGGTTTAGGGTTTAGTTTCTAGGGTTTACGGTTTAGGGTTTAGGGTTTAGTTTCTAGGGTTTAGGGTTCAGGGAAACCCCTAAACCCTGAAGCCCCCAACGCCCTCAACCCGCCTCGGAGCCTCAACCTCTCTCGCCCCAAGACTTGCAATAAAACCCCTACAGTTGGAATCCCTGTGGAAACCCGAAGGCACCTGTATGGAAACCCTGAAAGAACTCAGAGGACCCTCCCTAAACCCTAAGCCATCAGCCATAAACCCAAACTCCTAAACCCTAAAACTCAGAAGTTCTAGGAGTCTTCAACAAAAACCCATCGCAAAAATCCCCAAAAACCCCTCAATCCGCAACCCAAATAGCCCGAAGCCCTGAACCCTGAACCCTAAACCCTATAAACCCTAAACCCTCAACATCGGATCCGCAGCGCTGGGCTCTGTTGCGCTGAGAGGTGCGCCGAAGCAAAGCGCAGAAGATGCCTCGCCCAGAGCTCTGAGGTTCCTCCTGCAGTATATGGGGGTTTCGTTTAGGGTTTAGGGTTTAGGGTTTAGGGTTTAGGGGACCCTAATACAGTACCCTAAATAGTAGGATCCTTATT